TTGAAAGTAACAGCTCCAAAATAATTCAATAGTAAATATCTTATTACTTAAATTAATTATTTGAGTTTTTATATGCCAATTAGGCTATAATAATTGTGCTATAGTAAAACTCACCCACAGTTGCTTTTCATGAAACCATGCATTCTTTATTTTTATTTTTCAATTAAATAAAGCTGCATCTCTATTCGACCGTATATGAAATCTTTAATCTTTAAAGTAAAAATACATAAGTTACATAATATTACAACAGCAGGTAGGCACTCTATAAGCAACCAAAACAAAAATAAAAAATAACCAAATAAACGAACATTATACAAACCAAAATTATTCATTAATACATTATCTACTATTCAATTTCACTCTCTGTATTTATAATTGTTTTGATGCCATTTTTAATCATAAAAATTTTGCCATTTAGTGTCCAAGTCGAATTTTTATAAATGTTTTTCACCAGTTTAAAAAGTTTTAAAATTTTCACTGTTAATATTTCTGTAAACATAATTTTTGTCCCTTTTAATAGTTTTTTATTGAAAGATATTTCGTCACGAATCCAACGATTACAAAAACTCACAACAATTGGCCTTGGATTTTTTGCGTTCGAAACCTTCTTGCCTATTCTATAGCAATAATTTACATGAAATTTATTGATTTTCATATTTAATTTTTGATCAAAAATGTTTGTCAGAGATTCAATCAAATCCTCATCTTTATTCTCAGGGATACCATGGACCAAAAATGAGTTTTTATTGCTTTCTGCCTCCATCTCCTGTTTAATAGATAAAATATCATTTTTTAACTGACTAAGCTGGTTAAGAGTATTCGCTTCAAAAGTCTGAAACGCACTTATTCGATTTTCACTATCTTCAGCAGGATTTTCCGTTAATTTTTCTTTCAACGACTCCAAATCTTTCTTGAATTGTAACTCCATGGCGGCCATGCGATTATCCAATTCTTTTATAGTAGTATTTTTTGACATAGTCGTAGAATTGCAGACTTTCTTTTTACAAAATAGTAAAGTAGACACAGGATTTCACTGGTTCACAAAACTTTAAACTTTATTTACTTAATTATCACAAAGTTTTAACGTTTTTTCAGGAGCTGCACTTAAATGCATTACATTGCGGCGCACGCCATCTATTTCTTTTATATTATTATATTATTATATATATATATATATATATATATATATATATATTAGGGTGGCCCTTATTTTTCAATTTTTCAATTTTAGTTCCCACCCACTATCTTGTCTAAATCAACAAAAAAACGATCTGTGCAAAATTTTTGCTAAATCGATTTAGTTTTAGGCGACCCTCAAAGGCCTTAAAGTTGGAACGAGGCACACGCGATTAATTTCGTTTAAATGCAGTATATTGTTCCCTAATTCGGCTATTTTTTTTATAAGACATCCAAGAAACCGAAGCAATCATGTGCATTCATAAGGAGGGGCAGATTGAGCATTGCTCTCACCTGGATAATAAGAAAGTATAGAACTCACAGCACCTGGTGTACGAAATGATATACCTGGAAACTTCTTGAATCACCAGTACTGTACTGTTCTTTGTCGTCAAAAGGACAACTCTTATATTGTAGAAAAAAACGCTTAAAGCTGCTCCGATGATTTGATTGGAAATATTGCCAACAAGAGAGACCAAAAAATCTTTTCTTAACTTTTTTGAGGAACTACTTGAAGAAGTTGAGGCCATTTTACAATTCACTTTACACTAGCAGCACAAATATATGTTTACTATTGTCTCTCGTATTAATCTTGCTTTTATACTGATAATATTAATTTCTGAAGGTAGTTTTTTCTAAAGATAGTTTTGTGAGTATAATCAAAAAAGTACCTTACGATTAACCCGAAAATGTACTTTTTCTTAATAAATGTGGCAGTGAAAGCCTCAAATCTAAAAATAACACTATGTTGTCTACAATTGTACCACAAAATTTTTAAAATCCCTTACTGGTTGCAATAATCTACCCACCATTAAAATGGGTTGTGCTAAAAACTGAAATATTTTGGGAAAGGGCAAAGGGGCATAATAATTGCTGGTCTAGTGGTATTGGCAATATTAAATATAAGTCTATTAAGTAAGTTCGAGTAAATATCGACTCATCCAATGACCTTTATGGCATCCCAAGTAACACGCAGATTCTAAGAGCAACTCAAGAAGACAAAAAGGCTCTAAAAATTTCATTAACTATTTGTAATGCTTGTTATCAAGAAGCTTGCAAAGATAAAATACATTACTGTGGAAATCCAGCAACGGCTCGTAAACATGTTATGAAAATAGTTCAAAATCTTCCGGCAATACAACAAGAACAAATTTTAACATCTGCAATAAAAGAAAAATTGGCACTGAAAAAAATCAAACTAATTTAACCATAAATACTAAGAATCTCAGTAAACGAAAAAGAATGCAAAGGAGCTATATTTATTACTACCTTAAGTATATCTAACTGAAAACTTTGTAAAATGTTTATAAGGGCGTTTTTAAATTTAATGTTTAAAATAAATCGACAACACAAGAAAGGCCTGTCATTTGGCTAATGCTCAAGAACTACTGAAAAATGTTATGAAAATAACAGCGGATGGTGGACAAAGTTTACATGTCTGTTTTTCCAAAAAATCCAATATAGAGGAGATAGACCCAGAATTGATTGAGATAGACTTCTCAAATACGTTGTATGCTAAAGGAATTACTTGCACCAATCAAAATAAACTAACCAGTGGTAGTAAGTTAATAACGGTTTGTATTGTGCCACATATCAAAGTTTGATCTAGTAAAACTCAATCAATTTTCGTTCAAGTTTGTTTTAGATTAGTTTATTTTTATTGGTTAATGGACAAAAAACATCTACGTTTCCGAGTCAATACTTATATTCTTAAATAAACTAAGAATGTACAATGACCCTAATATTTTAAAAATTAAAGAACAAGACAAAAAATCGTCTAATACAAGATGAATAAGCTAAAAATACTCTTAAAACTTTAAAATGGATTATAACATATTTTGCAATTTTATCAAAAAACAATGTCATAGTACCATTAATCTAGCGCTTTTTGAAATATTAATATTCCAGAGTTGCATGTACTGCAAGGGTTTGTTAACCATTTATTTTGGAATAAAATAGTTGCTATTGTTGGAAGAGAGAACAGACACTTAAATGGCCTAAACGAATAACGTTGTCTTAAACCATTACCAGGGAGAAATTTTTTAGGTAAATGCTTGCAGAAAGCCAATTAAGGAAGCTGATAAACTAATGGACTGTAAGATTACCAAAAATGTTGCTAAAGAGCACTTCTTCCATTTGTGTCAGCCTTTAAGGCTATCAACAAAATTGTCCAGGCATTGACTGAAAAACTGCATGAAAATAACTTAATATTATATATATATATATATTAGGGTGTGCCAAAAAAACTCGATATTTTTTTTTTCTTGCTCTCCACCCAAAATATCGTAGAATATGTCCAAACAAATATTCTGTTAAAAGCGGAGCTCATAATTTCAATTTTAAGAGGTCCCTCATCGAATCTGAAGTTTTGCCGCTTAAATAACACAGAAAACTGACTTTTTTACCTTATTTATTCTTGCAACCTAGGAAGAATTTTTTTTCATAAAATCCATGACTAATTCTTACAAAGCATTAAATTTGGACACAAAAATCTTATTAAGCCGAATTTCTATTTTCATTATTTGATTTTTTCCAGAGCTTATATATATATATATATATATATATATATATATATATATATATATATATCGAGGGCGTCATATCAGAAGGGCGTAAGCGCCACTAAGGTCGGATTTGGGTGTATAGGCTTATTTTATCAATCCGCTTGATATATCAGAAGGGCGCATAGATTCGTGAACATTAGCACTTATATATCAACCCATTAGGTGTATGAACCAATAAGCCCATACACCCAAAAAACCCAAATCCGACCATATATGTGGCGCTTACGCCCTTCTGATATGACGACCTCGATATAATCTAAGAGAAAGTTAAATATTTTGAAAGATGGATTAGGTTTGTGGTCAGAGCAATCTGGAGTCAGCTCACAGATAATTTTTGAAGCACTGGGAAAAGTACAAAGTAAAGTAAAGTAAAGTACAAGATTCCTTTGGGCCTAAGTCTTACCTATCAAGGCAGTTGTGGAATTTTCTTCACGCCACCTCTAAAATTTACTTTTATTATTTTTGTTTACCTACTTTTTTTGTTGCATTGTCGACAATAAATTGATTTATTTCGTTTTAATTGTATTTTTTTTTTAATTTTGATTTTTATGCATACCTATTCTTATTTTTAATGTCGTACACATATGTATTTAACTCCAGTAACAACTGGAATTTAAAAAAATGCACACACCGCGAGAAGTACAAAAAGGCTTTATAGCTTCTCAGGGCCTGTGCCACAGGCCCTGTGGGAACATAATAGGATTTTAAAACTGTTAATATCAGAAAAAATTACATAAGGATTTTGATAAAAACATATATGAAAACTAGAAAAATGCACAACAAAACCCTTCTAACCGATTTTTTCGTGATTTTTGTTATACATATCTCGCCTGTAAGAAAATTACGGCATTTGTAAATAGTTTTGCAAGGCTAGCCGTAGAAACACCTACTCTCCCCTGTGAGACTGTAAAATTCAATTTTACCATGGTTTAGGAAGAGAAATAATATATTTATTTAAATCACTAAATATTTTTGAATTTTCTAGCACATCTTCACAAGACAAGAAAAACCAAATTTATATGCAAATATTGATAAAAAAGTATTAAATCCACGAATTGTCGTAAAACGATAAAAGTTTATACTAAGATACCGTTTCGTTATACATTATTTAGCAACAGAACAGAACTAAATTTAAACGCCTTTTATGCAAAATAATTAATGGTGTTGGATGATATAACATCATGGTATACCAATATTTGAAGCCAATTAGAAGTTACAGTGGCGTAATGTTGACTTTTGTGTAATAATTAAGAAACTGAGGTATTTTCATTCATGCTTTATTTTCCATTTTTATTAAGCCCTGTTACATACTCAAAACACTTAGTTGTATTGCTTATATTCTTCCTCAGGATTAGCTGCAAAGTATGCTTTCCATTCGGCTTTGTTTTCGCACTCCCATCTCTTCAGATCTTTACCAGGTTCAAAAACAGAACACCAAACTGCACCATTGCCGCTTGTGACAATGCCAGTACTTCCAGTACATACGCATCTAGGTTTTTTAGTCAAATCGCATGGAACCACGTGGAAGAACAAATTGTTGACGCATTTGGGGCTTCCGTTGATAAGGTTTGGTGAGTAGTCTTCCCAACATTTGCAGCTGGTCAGCTCTTGGCATTGAGCTGCAATAGCGATGACGAACAGTACACACAATACTTTAAACCTGAAATATATTTTAATTGGGTCAAATAGATTATTAAGTAAGGCTCTTTTTTTATACTGTTTCGGACTTGCAAGGGTTAATAACTATATTTACATTTGCCAACTTATTACTATTATATTTAAATACTAGTGCTTTTTAGGGAAAAAAAGTTTTACTGGACATTTGCAGTATAAAAAGAGGTTTGCTATTAATTAAGCATATCATTTAATAATATTTCCTGCCAAATCAACTTCTTTTGATACTTGATACCAGGCGCAGATCTAAGGGGGGGGCAATGGGTGCAATTTCCCCCCTCCCCTTGGTCCCTTGCACTGTTATAAAAATTAGATTTGTAAACATAAGTTTGTAGTTTGTTAATTTTATTTTGTAAAATGGTAATGTCTGAAAATTATGTTTCTGCAGAAAGCATGCTTACTTTATTCTAATTCGTAACGTGTTCGCAAAAGCTGTCCAGGGGGCCAATTTTTGACCGTTCGTAACTCTTGAAGGCGTTCGCAAATGTACGATTTGTAACAAATCTCATTTTTGAGCCATCGCATCTTTGCGTATACGCAAATTTTCATACGTTTTACTGCGAGCGGCGAAATACTCGCTAAATGTCACAAACGTATACGTATACATACGTTATGTATTTTTGAAACTCAGCCCTATGTAATATTAGAACATAGTTATTATGAAAGAGCAACTCAAGACATCAAATTTTGGTATACAAAATTTAATGTTTATGATTGTTAAAACCACAAAAATTTTAAGCTTAAGTTTGGAAGTGAGCTAAAGCCACCCGTGTTTACGGTATTGTTTTTTAAAATTTGCACTTGGGTATGGGAGGAATATTTTTTTTTAAATTTGAGTTTGGGATGTAATGAAAGTTTTTCAAAATTTGTGGTTAATATTGAAGATTTTTTAATTTGAGCTTTTGGGGTTTTATTTCATTATTCATTTAGATGTGGAAGAGATTTTTCAAAATTAGCGGGTTTCGGTTGTCTTGAAAATTCGCGCCTAGGAGTGATGAATCCATTAATATTCCTAGATGCAATAGCTAAAGTTACATAAATCAAGTGGTTACAACCACCTATAACCATGGGATAAAGTCCACCAGTGAGATTCAAAAAGGCTTAAAAGATAACTTGAATTAAAGTTTTAATTTAAAACACTCAAAATTCCTGCAAAACAAAAAATTATAAAGAAAACTAATGTGGTATAAATTACTGAGGACATTGAATCATAGAACTGTTTTGTTAAACCATTATACAATGAAATATACAATAAATAAATAAAATAAAAAAAAATAGTTCAAACGCACCCCAATTTAAAACGTTGCCTGATTTATCATTCGCATAAATGCGAAGACTTAACTTGGGCTTATTTAGTTTTGCGCATGGCGTTCAAAAATTGATAAATAGAACGTAGAGTGTTTATAATATATTACCAGAAATATATTACCAGAAATCTGTTATTATTAAAAAAGAAAAATCCTTTTTATTTCAAAGAATAACGTAATCTGTTATTATTGTTATTCGGATTCCTTATACCTATTTAACGAAGGTGCGAAGTATCCGAAAAAATATGCCATCACTGGTTTTCAAACTGAAATTAGGGGATACAGTGAAGTGGGTTAAAGTTACGAAATACTTTAGCAAGTGTTGTAGTAGTACTGATAATTAAATTGTACTAAATTTCTTTTCATAATTTCAGAATGGTGTTTTTTAAATTGTGTATGTTATTTTTGTGTTTATTTATGTACAGGGTGATCCCCTATAATGTCGCCCCCCTTTAACTTTTTTTAAGTGTGGTTATGTAGGTACTAAAAAATACTTTTTTCTACTCCTATTACGGAATTTGACCCTTCTAATATCACTTTTATCTATGGAATGACATATATTCCGTAAAGTGTTACAGAATGAAATATTCTATCATCTGATGACAGAATAAACACTCGTGGCGACATCTCTGTTTTAATTATCTAACAAATTTTAGACCGATCCAACCTTACTTTCTTCCAATTAAATTATTTTTCTATGGTATTTTTTGGAAACGTAGAAAAAGTATAGTCTGAAACGCGTTTGGAATTGCATATTCCGCTCTCGTGAAACCGTCGAACTCGCCTTCGGCTCGTGTGACAAACTCTTCACTCGAGCGGAATATGCTGTATTCCAAACTTGTTACAGAATATACTATTTTTCTACGTATAAAGAAAATTGGAAAATTAATCAGTATACAGGGAAAACCAAAAAGTTTATTTTTTTTCAATGGATCACCCTATATATGTATTTATTTTTCGATTCCTTGTAAAATTCTAGGCATATTTCATATAACATACCATATACCTAAACTCAACCGTTTCTGAAATATTTAAATTATTTTTAAGATAATTAAATGAAATAGTAATATATATATATATATATATATATATATATATATAATAGTAAAATAAGACATATTGACATAATGCCACTCTAGTAATTTATTTTCAATAAAAATTTTGGTATACTGAGGCTTCTTGATTTCTAACAGTTTAATAGTATATTCTGTAACAAGTGTTTCAGACTATACTTTTTCTACGTTTCCAAAAAATACCTAGACAAATATTTCATTCTGTAACACTTTACGGAATAAATGTCATTCCTTAGATAAAAGTGATATTAGAATGGTCAAATTCCATAATAGGAGTAGAAAAAAACATTTAATGATAACATTTCGAATGCGAATATTTCTGAAACAGTTAAATTTAATATGGTTTGTTATATGAATTATGCTCAGAATTTTACAAGGAATCGAAAAATAAATTTATATATAGGGTGATCCATTGGAAAAAATAATCTTTTAGTTTTTCCCGGTATACTGATCAATTTTTCAATTTTCTTTATACCTACGTATAAAAAAAGTATTTTTTAGTACCTACATAACCACACTTTTAAATTTTTTGGGACAATTAAAATAAAAAAGTTAAAGGGGGGTTATACGGGATCACCCTGTACATAGGTATGTGTTACTTTTTTGTTTAGGAAATTGATTAATAAAGCAACATTTCTTATCAAAATTGTTTTCGTTGAAGTTCCCAAAAAATACTTTTGTTACTGAATATACAAAAAGGTTTGTAAAAATAAGGCATAGGGCATAAAGTTACAAGAATTTTGGTTGAATTACTGATATAGGATTTTTGTTAAATCTACAAAATGTTTTTTATAATCACAAACTACTTATTCAATTAGTTAACATATTACAGTTGGTTGTAAACTTAAAATAAAGTTATTTGAATTAACATAAAATCTGATTAATATTTAGTTAAATTGACAAACTTTTTTAGCGTGAATTTATCTTTTTCTATTAATTCCTTTATTTTTCAGCTCGAAAACATGGATATGTATTATGTATTGTTTAGAAGTACAATAACTTTTTGTACCTACTTTTAAATCAAATTAACTGAACCGTTTTATTGAAATAAAAATAATAAATATTTATGGAATTTTATTTATTTATCCATTGTTTTGAATATTTTAATAATTAATTTTCTGAATACTAAAGAAAATTAAGTAAACACTTATGTACTGTTTACAATAAAACTTCCATAAAAACATTTTATAGAAAATAAATATTTTTTTTTGTAAAGTTCATTCAAAAACAAATAATAACTCTTATTTGGTTAATTTATAAAGAGCTATGACATTTTATTAAGTTCATAACTAACTAATTTTTAGGTAGAGAAAATAAATTTGAAAAATACTAGGTCGAGTGTAAAAGATATCGATTAAATAATGTATTAAATAATAATAATATTATATTAAAGAAATAATTGTTAATAAAATTAAATAAATAATAAGTCACTTACATGATTGTTGTTCTTTAATATTTTAAGACTAAATATCTAAAATTCAATTTTCTTTTATATTGAAAAAATTGAGTTTATCAAACAATTAGCAATAATTTTAATCGATTCAATCAAAATTTTTATTAGTAAAATACAAAAGAAACATTAATTTAGGCCAAGTAAATAATTGGTACTAAATATTAATGGCCTCATTTAAAAAAAAACAATTATTCTTATGCCTAAATAGTCAATTTAAATATTTGATTACTCAAAACCAATGTTTAATTTAAAGTGTTTTTATTATTGTATTTTTAAGGCTTGGATGAGCTTGATTTAGAGGACCCCAGGTTTTATTGTTTTCTATTAAATTTCATTTGTTTAATTTTAATATTTCTAAAGGAAACTCATAATTAAATCAATTTTATCCTCAATAGGTCTATAATTTAAACTTTATTGTGGTCACCACTTGTTTCTTAAGTGATTAATTATAGCCCATAGGCACGTAAAATGATTTAGATTTTTTAAAGCCTATAGGGAGTAAAAATGCATTATATAATATTTTGGACCAAACAAAAAACTCTAACTTCTGTCAGATCTACCTTACCACACTTTCTACTTTTAATAATTATTATTATAATTATGGGTTTAATGTATCGGTTATAACAATTAAAATTGTGCTTTGAAGATAAAATGTTGTACCTACATACGCCATTCGGCCAAGAAGTGTCTTTTTTTGCTTCGCCTAGTTGTAGGCTTTTGCTACTCATTGGCCTTTAAACCTTTAGCTCAGCACAAAAATAATCACTTTTTGACCTAATTAGGTACATTAATAACCATTTAATTATTAAATTAACACTCGATAAAAATTATAAATACGTATACGCATACTATAGTATGGATCCTATTATTAATTTATTACTTAATTTAATAAATATGTTGTGAAATCAACAAGAACAGTAATTTAAGTATTTAGTATGTTAGTATGAATTTTTTATACTGAAGTTTATCTTTTTACCAAACACATACTTATGGGTTATTTTATTTTAAGGGGTTTTTAACGGCAAATTTTACGCATTGATCATGATTTTAATATATTAAGACCACTTTATAACCGAAAATATTTGTCTAGGAAGGTTCAACTTGGTAAGATTTAAAGTATCTAGGATAAAAACTATTAAAAATTAACTTTAAGTCAAAAATAAACCTATAGGGTAATGTTTCAGATACCAAACTTATACACCAAAAGTTATAAAACTATAAAGTATATTCTGCTGATGCAAATCACATGATTACAACTATGCTAATATAAAATAGAGATATTTCAACTGTATCGTGGTAGATTTAGTTATTATTAGACTAATAATAATATACTAATACTAATACTAATAATAATATTAGTTATCAGTTTTCGTCACTATAATGCTACTTAATAATGAATAATTAATTAAATCGATGGGTTTTAAAAAACCATCTTTATTAATTATAGAATGTTTACAACTAAGAAGTAAGATAAAGAGATAAGTGCATAACTTCTTATGAAAAAAACTATTATTTTTTAATACACTGTTAAGTTTTCTTCCAACATTTCTGGTTTACCCTGTAGTGGTAACTAAATTAAATTTCTTTTTTTCTACTTGGGTTGCTTTATTCTCATTATTGGTAAAAAAAAGATAAACATTATATTTAGTTGAACTAATAGATTTAGCACGTGTTTTTTGTGCTGTATTGCCTAAAGAAAAGTGTAATACATTGTGTATTTAAAGATTTTTTTTAGTGCAATAAACTGATCACAGATTATGTTTTACATATTTTTTCAGCATTTATGGTAATTTAGTTATTTTACAAAAATTTGTTATCACCCAAAAATGTATCTATAAAATTAAGTACAAAAAATTATTATCTATAGATTAATTAAATTAAATTATTTGCCTTTATCAAGGCAATTAATTTAAGAAAAAAATGTATAAATAAAAATCCATATTACGAATTTTCTAAAATTAATTCTGCTCGAATTTGTGCGTGAACAACGCTCCCCACATTCAAGTGTCTCTTGATTTTATACGGTCAATTACACATGAAAACTATGTCCATAAGCCGGTTGAATTTTCCTCTACCTGTTCAGGTTTAGTTTATATTGATTCCCTCATTGGGTAACAGCAGCATATGGACACTCTAAAACTGGATTGAACACAAAAGATTTCGTTCTACCCCTGCGTATATATTTTACAATACGTGTAACAATGGAGTTATTATCAAACTAAAATTATTGCTGGAAAAGTTTTCCTTTCTTCTACGATTTACGCAACACTTGTTTTAATAGATCATTTGCATGAAAATGTCCGAATCGCCGGGAATATGTCCCTATGTTTATTAGCATCATTAGTATTAAAGGGGTGAGAACCTGAATAAACTTGTGGATACTGAACGTATTCATAATCATAATAAATAAAATACTAAAACAGGATGTTTTAAAATTCCATTTTTTCGATTTAATAATTATTTACAGCTTCTTGTCCGTTTAAGGAATTTACCCTTAACATATTTTATAATTCTTGGAACGTATATTTTCTAAAATAGTTTATCATTGCATCTGTTTAAATTTGTTATAGGTATTATTTATTTGTAGAAAGAAACACTTTAAAATTAGTGTAGATATATATATTTTATTTAAAAAATTCCGTTATGATAACACAATAGGTACAGGGTGGTCCACGTAAGGTGACCCATATACTTATCTCAGAAACTACTGGAGTCACAAAAAATTTGTAAGGAACAAATATTCACGAAGTAAAAAATATTTTTAAAATATTATATTTTCATTTATACAGGGTGTTCGGTTTTCCTTGGGACGATACCAACTTTCTTATTTTCAATGGAACACCCTGTATTTTTTTGCATTTTTGGATTCTTCACACTCTTTTAGGTATACTTTGTAAATATATTAATTAAGAAAATGTTAATACTTTTTGAGTAAAATTAAGATTTATTAAAATTTCTCTAAATGTAGACACTCGCTAAAAGTTAAAAATAACCAACTAAAAGTTATTATTTTTTATATTATGTAGTATCCATCTCTTTAATAATAAGTAAGCTATAAGTTAATTATTATATTTTTTGGAAAATATCATACAGGGTGTTTTCTATGTCCGGTTGAAAATAGCGATTTTAAAAGTTTAAAATCTTGTTTTTCTTCAATGGAACACCCTATATATTTTTGCATAATTTGATAGAATAAGTAATTACCTTTTATTTTATATATATATGTCCTATACCTAAACCTAACAGAAAAAAAAATATTCGCATTTTTCACAATTAGTAGTTTTTTTCCAATTACCTTAGTTAAATTTTCATTATTCAAAGAAAACACCCTGTATAATGTTTTCCAAAAAATAAATTAATTAACTTATAGCTTACTTATTATTAAAGAGATGAATGCTACATAATATAAAAACTAATAACTTTTAGTTGGTTATTTTTAACTTTTAGCGAATGTCTACATTTAGAGAAATTTTAATAAATCCTCATTTTACTTAAAAAGTATTAACATTTTCTTAATTAATATATTTACAAAGTATACCTAAAAGAGTGTGTAGAATCCAAAAATGCAAAAAAATATAGGGTGTTCCATTGAAAATAAGAAAGTTGGTATCGTCCCAAGGAAAACCGAACACCCTGTATAAATGAAAATATAATATTTTAAAAATATTTTTTACTTCGTGAATATTTGTTTCTTACAAATTTTTTGTGACTCCAGTAGTTTCTGAGATAAGTATATGGGTCACCTTACGTGGATCACCTAAAAAAAATATTCGCATTTTACAAAATTAGTAGCTTTGCGCGTATGGTAATTATTATAGTAATATATATTTATATATAAAAGCATTTTTATTTGTTGTTATTGAAATTTATTTATTTAAATAATGAAAATTTAACTAAGGTAATTGGAAAAAAGCTACTAATTGTGAAAAATGCGAATATTTTTTTTTCTGTTAGGTTTAGGTATAGGACATATATATATAAAATGAAAGGTAATTACTTATTCTATCCAATTATGCAAAAATATATAGGGTGTTCCATTGAAGAAAAACAAGATTTTAAACTTTTAAAATCGCTATTTTCAACGGGACATAGAAAACACCCTGTATGATATTTTCCAAAATATATAATAATTTACTTATAGCTTACTTAATATTAAAGAGATGGATACTACATAATATAAAAAATAATAACTTTTAGTTGGTTATTTTTAACTTTTAGCGAGTGTCTACATTTAGAGAAATTTCAATAAATCTTAATTTTACTCAAAAAGTATTAACATTTTCTTAATTAATATATTTACAAAGTATACCTAAAAGAGTGGGTAGAATCCAAAAATGCAAAAAAATACAGGGTGTTCCATTGAAAATAAGAAAGTTGGTATCGTCCCAAGGAAAACCGAACACCCTGTATAAATGAAAATATAATATTTTAAAAATATTTTTTACTTCGTGAATATTTGTTTCTTACAAATTTTTTGTGACTCCAGTAGTTTCTGAGATAAGTATATGGGTCACCTTACGTGGACTGTACATTATAACTTAAAAAATTATTGATCGAAAAAACATATTTGAAACACAACCTTTTAGGATAGCCATAATCATTTAATAGTACCTATATAATGTATGAAGTTTTATAAACGTCATTTTAGATTTAAATTTTATTAGGCACGAGCGAAGCTTGCGAGCGAGTGATTAATAAAAACGTCCAGATAAAACGAGTTGCATACTATACTTTATCTACGACGAACACAAAAAAGAATTTAAAGCCAATTTTATTTGTTAAACATTTGACATCTGTCAACTTTAAACGGATTTAACCTTACTTTAACCCTAATTTATAATAAAGCTATCTTCACCCGTGACTAAAATGCCTAAAAGCCACTATTGCTAAGTTCAGCCCGTGACTAAAACGCCCTAAAGTCACAGCTCGTCAATTTAGAAGTAGATAATAGTATATTATGTATCAAGTTTAATAAACGCCATTTAAATTTATACACGAATTTAATTTAGGCAC